AAATACCAATCAGAAGCAAAGAACAAAAATTTGAGCATTTTTCCCCCAGTAAGACAGATAAAAATATGTTCTCTACAAATATCTCTACAATTAGTCATATGCATGGTGGCTAACTAAAATATTGTCTAAAAACTTTGCATAAGGAAGAAAAAATTAAAACAGAAAAGTAAATTAGTGTCTTTCTCTTTTGTACTAAGGGGAAAATATACCTACAAAATAACGTACACACTACAAAAAAATTTTTAGTGCTGAAAAGCACTCCCTTACAAGTACCGAGTCAATTATTCTCATTTAAGTGTACCATGGGCTAAGCTCTGCAATGTTAAAGTTTGGGAAAGAATATAGTTTCTCATTGCTACAAAGAAAATTATCAAGTTCATTGCAGTGGGACAAAATGCTGTTCTCTTACTAAAAATATTAAGTTTTTTTGTGGTGAAAGTGACTTTGAGTTGAAAACAAAATCCTAGTCTAGCCATAGAAAGATCACATTGCACATAGTTGAGAAATATACAGATAATTTAAGGCGATATCCTATCAGTTAAGTCCCCGATAAAGATTCATTAAAATACAGCTGAAAGACTACACCTCCCTCTAGAGATAAGCACAAGCTAAAGAGTATGTCCCCATAAAGCAGTTTTGCTAGCTGGTTAAGTCTATGTTCTGGTAGCCGTTCTCCTTTAATGAGATCATAATGCTGTTGTATCCTAACTAAACGTACAGAGAAGGCCAAATAGGGCAGCATCAGCAGGCACGATGGAGAGAGGTTAAAGGGAGATGGCAAAGGAGAGAAGAGGAGAAAGCAGGGAGGGAGGAGCTCAGCACTTGCATTAGATCACAGTAGCTTTGGCCAGGTTCATTTGAAAAGGTCAGAAATAAAGCAATGCTAACCAACCGACAGCATCACAAGCAGCTTCATTCCAAGTACCAGCCAATTAAGTTACTTGTCCAGAAATATTCAAGGTTGCACCACAATAGTATCTTGCTCAGAAACCAAGGTGGTTTATAACTGAGTCTAACAAATAATACAATGTAAAAATGTGAGTGCATAAGTGGTATTATAGGCACAAGTCTCTGCCTTTAGTATCCCACTAAAACAAGGGGAAGACCATGTACGTTAGAGCCATGAGGACTTTCCAAACTGGTGCATTAAGATGGAAGTGTGCTCACGTGCTCTCCCCCCCCCCCCGCCCCTGTATATCTTTGAAATTGGAGTATTTCTATTACTGAGCAATAGTCTTAGTAGTGTAAACAGGTTATTTTAAAATAAGGCACAATTGTGGATTGCTTTTAATTGTCTCTTGTGAAAGTACACCAGAAGAGCCATCCCAGGACATGGATTAAGGCACATTTTGCAGAGGTATCTTTTTCGGTTGCTGGTTTTCTACAGATGGCTGAATCGGGGGTATGGAACATGCTGTCATATTTCATTCATAACACACATGTACTGTAGCTGTAGGCAACAGATGGACAATCACTTGTTTAATCTACAAATGTGAAATGCTAAGGTAGAATGGCAATATTTCTAGAAATGTATATGGGGAAAAAAAAAGCCTTTCCAAGCCAGGAGGGATGGTGAGAGGCTGGGAGGTTACATCAGTGTTTCTCGGATCTCCCTAGCAGCTGCCATAATTTTCCCGACACCCTTCAAAACTTGAGAATGGAAGGATCAGGGGGCAACCGACACAGATCTGACAAGAGAAGCCCAAACCACATCAAATAGAAATAACACTGTTATTCCTGACTGGTTCACATTAATAGGATTTGTAGTAACTAGGAAGATGTTTGGCAATTGTGTTTTCAGAGTCCTGCCTATTAACGCTCTGCTGCAGCCTCACAGAGCACTCTCCGCTCCCCCTGGCCCAAGTACAAAAGAGCTGTTTATGGTTATTAAGTTCCATACTTTTTAAGTCCAACATAAATATTATTGCAGAATATTTAGTGTTTTTAAGTTTGTGTCCTTAATCAGCATATAACCCATGTAGTAGTTCTGATCGAAAGTTGTTCCTACAGGGACAACAATGTGCTAATGATAGGAAAAAACACCCACATCTTTGAGCTGCAGAGATGGCAGTATTTAACTAACACTGTGCTAGGACTTGTAAGGATGTATTTTTGAGTTTTGAAGGCAATGTCGCTTGCCAATCAGACTCCATATTGAGCCAGTCTGAGATGGGAACCCAAACAATCATGAAATCTTATTCTGGATGGGAGGTTTAGCTGTGGTAGAGCACTTGTCTATTTTATGCAAGGCTGAGAGATCCATCCCCACCACTTCAGAAATAGAAAGAGGATTATTTTGAATGTTCTCTGCAGAGCCCATGATGGTGGGTTTTTTCCTTTTTTATGTATTTTATACAGAATAACCAAATGTTTGTGCTCTTGAAATTTAAACAATTCAGGTATAATTTTATAAGTTTTCTGTTACAGATATTATATTTTTTCTATTTTGTTTTTAAATGATAAGTAAGGCAATATATCAAAAGACAATGCATATAATCATTAAGGTAATAGATCTTTATATCTCTACAGTAGGCAAAACTTTATGTAGCTAAGACAGCAAAGAGTAGAGTACTTGGTATTGCATAAATCAAATGCTTAGTAGAAGAAAACAGGAAAGCAATGTAAGTTATATATTAGAGAAATTGCAGAATAATGTGGTAGGATCCTTTATACTCATTAGACTTTGTGAAAGGAAAACATCTAATTCTAAATATTTCTGTATATGTGTATGTGCACATTCATTATTATAAAAGTATAAGTCTATATTAAAAAGAAATTTACTTTAAAAAAATCTTTGGTAAAGATCCTCTGAGGTTACTTGTCAGGAAAGCATTGGGTAGGCTATGAGCAAGAGAGCTCTGCTTGGAAAACCTCAGGGAAGAAACTGGGGCAGCATTTTCCTATAAATCTCCCATGTAAACATCTGGTTACATAAGTAGTTACATGTAACAAACAAGGAAGATGTTATTGCTCTATAGTATAAATATTACATAAACTCTTCCTCTGCTGTCTGAACTTATAGCAATATTCCTACATTTCTAGACATTATTCCTGCCCCTTACTTATACCACATTCTACTTTTGGCTTAAAGACATTTCCTGAAATATTTTGTGGTGAACATTTTAGTCAGTTCAAGCCTGCATCCACCTCGATTGTCTGTCTGCGTTCCTCAAGGTCATGGGCACAGCTGAGCCTTTGATTTGCAGTACAGAGATTCCAAGCTAGAGTGGCCACCGAATCCTGAGAGCCACAAGCTGTCCTCCATGAACCTCAAGATAAGAGAAGCAAGGTGAGAGGAGGCGGCAAGGAAAAGCTCCTGAAATGCATAGTTTTGGGGGCTCTAACAGGCAAACTGCCTGATGGAGAAAGTAAGTAAGCCACAGGCTGACCCAGAGGGCTGCCTGACAACAGCCTAAGGCTTCCTTTAATTGCTTGTATGATGACTTCCATTCAAGTAAAATAAATTTTATAGAATTCCTGAGGCATGGGTTGCAATTTTAAACACACACAAGTAATTGAACATTTTTTTTTTGCTCTAAATGGTAAAATTAAAACTGTCAGACTAGAAAATCATCATGTCATGAAAATTAAAAAAAAAAAAGATGCAGAAGGGTTGGGGATGCTGGGGTGAAGGGCGCATGCCAAGCACACGAGGCCCTAGTTCAACTCCCAGTACTACATAAAAGAAATAAAAAGATATTTGTGGAATTTAAAGAATTTAAAGTGACTATACTTCTACAAGTGGGTATTAGGTATATAAGGATTGCTATATTATTATTTATACCCTTCTGAATATTTAAGGTACTCCATAATTTAAAGGTTTATGTCTGTACAAGATTTATAGAAAGCTTTGGGAAATCTTATTCTGAGATACTGAGTACTGAGTTTACAACTCGGCCAGCTGCGATTGCTGAGTGAGGCGTCTTCTCTGAACGAAGCAAATTGGCTCTGGTTGGCAAGCAAGTGTTTCACTGGCTAATAAGAGTTCGCATAAAGATTCTAGGCAGGCATTCTGCATATTTTTACCTCAGAAAGACAATTTGGTTTTCAGCGATTGTCTTTGAAAGTGTGGTGTAAATGTCACATTGATGATAGGAAAATGTCTCCTGCAATATGTACTGGAGTTGCAGAAGGATTGTAAGAATAATAAACTCTGGTTTCACAATCTTTCCCAGCTTATTTGTCTTTTAAAAAGAAGATGAAACATGGTTACATAACTTCATTTCATGTGTCCCGATTTGCAATTTCCAGGCAAAAGAGATTTAGGCTTGGGTCATTATAAAGCAAAAGGAAGAAAGATAAGAATTTGAATCCTTTTAATACTTATCTTTCTAAAGATAAATATTAATTGTAGTGACCATGCTTATATATTTGGGGAAGTTTCACAGTAATTCTAAGATGAAGAGTTGGACAGATTTGGAAATATATCAAAAGCAAGTCTGGCTGTCATATGTCCAGAGAGTGTGGGAGGTAACTCTCAGGGTGGGATTATGAAAATACAACAGGCCTTCCAAATACACCTAGAAATTCATCTGCTAGCATTTCCCACTGGGCCTCTTTAGCACAGTGGTGAAACCTGGCTTTCTTTCTCCACGTTTTTAGATATTGGCCAATCAATGTTTTCAAATGAGCCCTGACTGCTGGGCACTGCAGATTTTGAATTTGGATAGTTGTAGACTAACACTGTGCTCCTGTTAACTTTTTCAAATAAATTCTTTATAGCTTAACATAGAAAAATATGCCCCCACACCATTATTTTTAGCAGGAGACATGAGGGGTGTAGTGCAATGGGAAACTTCACCTTTTCAATACCTGGTCACAGGATCACTGACTTTTGTAGCCACAGCCAGAGGAAAAGAGACAGACAGGGCGAGACTTAAGGCACCTGCATGCTGGCACATTCACCCTGGAGAAATCATGTGACAGCAAATACCACACTAAAAATCTATTCAACCCCATGAGAAGTGAGACAAGCATGAGGATTAAAAGTCCCAGGAATGCAGAAGTGAATGGGATGGAGCATAATCTGTGCAAAAATGTGGAAGTCCTTGGAACAAAGGCTCACCAAGGCCCTACATGATTAAATGTGAAATGTGCATTTGGTAAGAACGTAGACAAATCGTATCATCTATGTGCTTCTACAGACAAGGTTAACAGCAGATGAAGAACAGAGACTCTCCCAGAGGTTGAGCTTTGCCTCTATTTTTCTATTTCTTCTCTTATCTTTTTCTTGTGTTGCGTTCTTCTTGGTGGCATGCACTCGGCAGCTGAGCTGGCTACTGACTCTACAGGTCAGTGCTTGCCTTGGCCGTCAAGACCCTGATGCGGGCTGAGTTGCAGGTCTTACAGAGGATGTGTCCATCCAATGGGTAGCAGCCTTGGTTGTCTCCTTCGGACAGAAGACCACCACAGTCCTAGGGAAATGAAGACAGTGAAGTAGGTAAACTGAAGCACAGGCAAAACTGAGCCTCTTTATGAGGCTTCCGTAATGAGGACACTGTACCCCATGCTCAGTATATGACGTAGCAGATCTCGAATGAAACTGAATTAGAGATCAGCAACATAAGTACAACAGTAACCAGGAGTAGCGGCACACACCTTTAATCCTAGAACTCGGGAGGCAGAGGCAGGTGGACCTCTGTGAGTTCAAGGCCAGCCTAGACTACATAGCAAGTTCTAGGCCAGGAAAGACTAGATAGGAAGATCCTGTCTCAAAACAAAACAACTATAAATAGCGTAAAATTACTCTTCTAGTCACCATATACAAAACAATACAAGAAAAAAGCCTACAGATCTCAGCTCCCAGTGGGTAGCTTTCTCTCCCAAACAACAGTGAAGAAAATGAAGTATGGTCTCTCATGCACCTTACCCTTGCCACTCAGTTTTAGGATCTCTTCAGAAGAATGGACAGGCAGGTATGAGAATAGAAGTTTGTAGCTATTTAAATAAAAGGAAAGTGATTTCTGGCATGTAGAAAGGCTACCAGTGGCTTTTGCATATTTACTGCAATAGTAGCAAGGACAGAAAATTACAAGAGCTGGGTGGACTGGTGGTTGGTAGTGTTTTCCAAAAGGGATAGCACAGTGAAGAGGGAGACTGGAGACGAGCTCCATGGGTGCCACTGTGAGGCTTGGCACTGTCTGTGAAGGCTGCTCACAAGACTGAATACCATTCTGAAAATAATTCAGCCATTTTGTACCCCATTGAGCTTCTGGGATGGTCGAAGCAGATAAAGGGTATGAATGTGTAAAATGCAGAGTCGCATACATGTGTAGGAGGTGTTGCTGTTGGTATCCATGAACGCACATTATGTAATGTGTTAGGTAGCACTGGAAGGCAACCCTTGCCTTTAGGAGAAATGGGAGTGTGCTTGGGAAATAAACAGCCACATTTAGCACTGTGTGCCCTGCTCATAGTAACAGAAGCCGTCATGGGCCACGGCTGCTGCATAGTTGTCCTCTGTTCTCCGAGAGTGGCAAAGAGATGAATGAAGCCAGGCCTACAGCTGACAAATAATAAACTCTGCGTATAAACAAGGCTGACCCAAAGTGCCACAGCAGACACAATCATGACCCACAGGAAGTTTGGCTTTGCCAAAAAGAACCAATGATATATGATACTTTGAGATGTCTTCAGGAAGTGAGTAATGGAAGCAAACCAAAAAAATATTATAAATGACATGATTCATAGAAGACACTGTTTTAAGCCTCTTTTCTCTTCTCCTCTTCTCTTCTCCTCTCCCTCTCCCCACCTCTCTGTGTACACGCACACATGCGTGCATGCATACACACACGAGGGTCAGAATTTGACAATGTCTGGTGTCTTTCTCTGTCATCCTCTCCTTGTTACCTTTTAGGATGATCTCTCTCTCTCTCTCTCTCCCTCTCTTGGGGTCACTTCAGTTCAGCTGGAGTGAGCTGTTAATTAGCGCTTGGATCTATAGCGGCCCAACAGACCTTCCTCTTTCTCCTTCACAATTGCTGGTGTTACTGGTACATGCTGCTGTTCTTTATTTACAAGAACCCTCAGGATCCAAACTTAGGTCCCTGCACTTATGTGGTAAATACCTACTGACCAAGCTGTTTCAAGCTCAGTTGCCCAATTTCAAGCCTTTAATGAGTTGTCCTCGATGGTCATTTGGACCTTGTAGAAAGTCCAATACTGACCACAGCATTGGAAGCACAGGTATCTAACATCATAACACTGAGAGGTGCTATACAGGAGAAGGCCATAATGGAGAAACCTCCTTCCTGTTTCTCAGGGTGGCAGGCAGGGCTAGAAATGTGGCTTGCTGTCTTCCATTTTAGGCTCTTCTCATTTTATGGTTTTGTTTCTGGAAGTTTTTCAGCAATTAAAGGCAAATCTAATTTGTACAGCACACTGGATGCAAAAACACAAGTCAAAGCCTGTGTGTATGTAATGGAGTATGTGAGAAACTGTGGGGGCCCTTTTTGGAGCCTTAGTGTCTCCTGTAAAATGACCTCTAAAGGATGCCTGTACCCCTGTGGTCCCATTACAGGAATGCTGGAAAGACGATGGCTGAACACTGATGTTCTCCTTACTTCCCTGTTCATAAACCTTGCATAAAAACTGTTAGTTTGGTATTGTATTTCTTCATGTTAAGTCTGGAGAGGGGCATACAACTTGGGCTTTAGGGAGAAACAAGGCATAGTGCATAAAACAGATGGTCAGTTATAGGCAAGGCAGTGAATGGAGTGGACAAATTCTCCAGGGCCTTCAGAGCCTTCCCAGCCTGCATCCTTGGGCATCTTCCAGTTGGACTCTAAGGGCACAGGGCTAAGAAAGCCTGTATCCTATACAGACAGGGGACACAACTGCATGGGAACAAGAAAGTCTGTGTCCCATACAGACAGGGGACACAACTGCATGGGGATAAGAAAGTCTGTGTCCCATACAGACAGGGGACACAACTGCATGGGGATAAGAAAGCCTGTGTCCCATACAGAAAGGGGACATAACAGCATGGAGATAAGAAAGCCTGTGTCCCATACAGATAGGGGACACAACTGCATGGGGATAAGAAAGCCTGTTTCCCATACAGACAGGGGACATAACAGCATGGGGATAAGAAAGCCTGTGTCCCATACAGACAGGGGACATAACAGCATGGGGATAAGAAAGCCTGTGTCCCATACAGACGGGCCAGGCCTGACCAGTGCTGCATACTCAAGAGCTAGGAATGAGAAAGAAAACTGGAAGGAGAGAGCCTGGGTAACATGGAAAAGAATGTTAAATATTCCAAAACCATATTCTTAGTGTAGCATCCTTTGTTAACTAAAATGACAAGGGAACGGACCTTTGCCCATGTGTATTAGCGTATCAATGGCTGCATGTCCTACCAGTATCAGCCAAGCTACTTTTTTCACTGGTTACAGATATGCATTGTGGATTCTCACAGCACCCTGTGCCTGACTCTTCAATAGCTCTTAGCAATAGGGCCTCTCAAATAATCCTTGGGAACTAACTACTATATCAATAAATTTCTATGATTTTGAATGAGAAGCTTTTGTATCTCTAAAGGAAATGTCTTTTGTCTCCTTCTCATTAGGTGATATTGGTCGCTCTGCTCATAGCAGTAGTTAACCAAATCCCAAGTTAAAGATGCTTCATCTTCATCATCACCACCATTGCCATCACCATCATCATCAGCCTTTTTTTCTAGCTTAATACTTTACAATGTCCTGTGTTATATAATTTTATGTTTAGGTCTCATAGCCATATCTGAAGGAATAAGACTTGGAAGCATTTAAAATGTCCAGAGAGAGGGGCCCGGCTATGAAGAGTGGGGTAAGTTGAGTGATGTCAGTGTATTAACTGCCTGTGTCAGAGTTTGTTAGGCACAAAGGTCTCCAGGTTTTATAACTGCTCTAACTTGGGGATGCCACAGACCTCACAGCGGTAGCAGTGCACATGGAAATCACGGTCCAGAGCTACAATGCGGACGGTCTCCTCCTGGCCTGGGGCCGGCATGATAGGTTCCTTGCACACAGAACAGCGCGGGGCAAATTTCCTGAAAATAGAAAGAATTCTGGTGAGATTCAAGTACAGATGAGGATGGAGAGGGACACAGAAGGAAACAGAAAAACTAGGAGACTGACACCTTAGCTATATTTCCTGTGTGACCTTGACCAGAAGAGACTGAGGCAGTAGAGGCCCCTACAAACAGTGAGTAGTGCTATCTGACAGGGAAGAGTGTGCGATCTGCGTTGTACAGAGAATATCAGGGAACTCATTAGCAGGTAGCATGTGGGATGCCGTGATCCTGTGTATAGAACTCTTGCATGAGCATGACCTAGCTGAACACAGGAAACAAGGTCCTGCCTGCACATGCATGACAAAGGTCTTGGTAGGCCCTGACCACCCTCTGACTTGCTTCTATTGGTACTCCTTCATTCTGCCACAGACAAATATCCTGACATTGAAAATCTTTATAGCTTCTTTTGCTAAAATTTGTCTTGAGTTCTCGACCATAGGAACCCTCAAACACACATCTGCATATATATCATTTGTGGAGGTGTGACCTGAGACATGATTTGGAATGGACACACATAAGAACTGAAGACAATCGTTAAAAAATACACAGAGCCAGCATGTCTGAAATCCTAGTACTGCAGAGGCTGAGGCAGGAGGATCACCCTAAGCTCCAGCCTAGCTTGGGCTACTGAGTGAGACCCTGTCTCAATACCTAAAATCCAATAGTAGAGAAAAAGGATGTAGAGATTCTGAGGAAGTTACTAAAGTTCTCATGGTAATGGTTTTAAGATTAATGATGTTAAAATTTATCTACTGTAGTAAGACTTAAAAGGAAATAATGACGGTAATCTAATACTGTGCAGGGAACTTCACGGTTGTCAGAGAGTTTTTACATACATTATACTCGCTGTGTACGTTCTAATTTTCCTGGAGGCACCCAAAAGGCATCTGTATGGCTGCAATCTAAATAAATATGAATTAAGCAGCAGATCGATTGATTGCTGTGAAAGAAAAATTAAGAGGATCATGGTACAACTGCAGCAGTAATCAGGGTTGTTGTAATGGATATTTTATGCAAGAAGTTGATATTCAGTGGGAAAAAAACTGCTTTGAATTAACTGATTATTTTTGAATCTGGGTTATCAGTAGTAAAATAGCCAGGCTTCTGATATTAACTTTAAAGCTTCCTCTCCCCAGCTACCAGGATGCTGGGAGTGCAGAAGTAGCCACAGCCTCGCTAGTTTTTCCCAGGTACAATGAGTTCCTCTAGGATTCAACTTCCCTTTCTTCTCTCTCTCTCTCTCTCTCTCTCTCTCTCTCTCTCTCTCTCTCTCTCTCTCTCTCTCTCTTTTCTTTACTTTACCTTTTTAGGTAGTAATTATTTCTATGTCTTTGCTGACCACTATGATTGGCTCATACAAGAGAATTTTGAGCAATACCCAATGACATGAACCACCTGCCATACTGTTTCTTGTGGGAAAGATGTTACTGGATTTTATGTCTAGTCTCATGGTCCATCTCTAGGTCGTCTGAAGCTATGTCCTTTCTGACCAGTCACTCGTCCTTAGCAAAGCGTAGAGGCAGGAGCTGTCACTGCAGTGCTCATGATCTGTGGGGGTGTTTTCCAGTGCCAAAGAGGCCAAGTGGACACTAATAAATACTAATAAAAATGGGTGAAAGCAGTTCTGATGGGTATTGTTTACTAAGTGCCTAATATGTACTAAGTTCTGTTAAGCACTGTGCACATGTTATTATTTTCTGTTGATGGCCGTCTTAAGGGAAAGTATTTTTTATCACTTCTATTCTTCAGTCAAGGGAGCCATGAACCAAGTCATTTCATATCCAACATATTTTTGGCAATTAACAAATGAATGCTAAAATAAACGACTAAGTGGATCAGTGCTCTGGTTTGGACTTGCAATGTTCCCTTCAGGCTCATAGACTTGGGGCTCAGTTGCCAGCTGAAGAACCTTTGTGAAGTGACTGGATTGTGACAGCTTAGACTTCAACAGATTAGTGTAGTATGCAGTCACTGTGCAATGGTGCTATCAGGAGGGGGTGGAGACATAAGAGGAACGCTTGGAGGAATGAGCAGCTCACTCACTGACAGCATGCTCTTCCAGGAGACATCTTGTCCCTGATAGCCATGAGGTGAATAGTCTTTTTCTTCCTTTCTTCCATCATGCCTTTCTTCCATCATATACTGCCTCACCACTGGTCCAGAAACCCAGGACCAGCTCACTATGGACTAAATATTCTGAAAATCAGGTGTCTAAATAAAACTTTTCTACTCAGGTATTTGTCATAGGGGAAGGAAGTCTCGCAAAGACCACAGATGACATCTCTACCAAGAAACCACAGATCACTCATTGTGTATGTGCCACACACCAACAGTTTAAGCTGACTGTTCAGGTCATCACCAGTGCCCTGGCACTAGAAACACAGACTCAACAATACTCCAGCACAGGCCTCATAGGAAATTCTCCATGCTTCTGTATTTGTCCGAAACTTTTTATATATAGTCTCTCTTGTTGCAAGAAATATCTAAATTGATACTGTAAAACTATTCATATGTGCAGGTCATTACAAATTCAACACTATATAGACTTACTCAAATAAAATTAGTCAAATATAGAGTTGCCATGATCCCTGGGAATAAGAAGGGGTAAGGTCAAAGAAGTCTTATTAAAATAGACTGTAAGTTTAGCTTTGAATACAGTCATATTGGTAAAATAAGGAGACTGTGTGTGTATGTATGTATGTATATATGCACATGTATATATACATGTGTGTGTGTGTACGCCTACTGGCCACCCAGTACACCTACTGTGTACAGGACCTAAGGTAATCACAGAGTTCTTAGTAGCTACTGGTAATCAAGTCTGTGAAAGAGTTCAATTCCCAGGCTGTAGGATATGAGTCAACCTTAAGCAAAGGTAGTTATATGGAAACAGGCCCTTAGGCAAACCTCATGATTCTTGCCTTTAAGTGAGAAGCTCTGAGATGACATTTTGAGGGGCTTTTCCCCTATATTCTCTATCAACAACTCCCTTGTTTCTTACATAGCACACATCAACTCCTGCTTGCCTCGTGAGGCCTGCTGGATCCTTGAGCCAAATGCTCAGTTCTGAGGAGCACAGGGCAGCTGTCCTCTGGGTGCTGCTCTTTCTGCCCTGTATCCTGGCTATCCCCACACACCCTGCCTCCTCCCCACAGGCCCAGCTTTGACCTTTCTCCAGCTCTCACTGTCCAGCTTCTCTTTCAGCACTCAACACAGCCATGGCACAGAGAGGGAAGTGTGTGGCTGTGAGTAGAATCAAGCTGAGATAAAAGCTCACAGGAGAAACCCACTCAGAACAACCACAAAGAAGCTTTCCACAGCAGAGAGGCAGGCTCTGCCCCTTTGTTAGTCTCCATACAGATGCACTAACTCTCCCCATGCTAGACAGCTAGCACCATGTGCTGGAAGGCTGACACCCTGTGATGGAAAGTTAGCAACCCATGGTGGAAGACTAACACCTCATGGTGGAAGACTACCACCCCATGATTGAAGGCTAGCCACTCTGTCTTCTAGTACTGTCAAAGCTAAGCAACAAGCATTCCGGAATATGTTCTTTTCTTTTTCCATAGAAGGGTAATATCTAAACCCCCACATCTTCCAATTGTGCAGACAATATTTTTTAAAAAATAACTTCTTATTTTTCATGTGCACTGAAAGAGGAGGGGCAGGCCTTGAGATATGTATCTTTCTCTGCCCCTTCAGTTGCTCAAGTCTGCTTTGCGGGAGCGTTCAGACCCACAGGCTTATGTCACTGGTTACAAGTCTCTAATTATGTTCCCCACCACTAGAAAGAAAGATAAATGGCAGCGACATAAACTTGCATTTGTCAGAACCGATTCCCCTTTTAATTGAGGGGTGTAACATCTCGGGTTTTTCCTGTAACACAAACATGTGTGCTCCGCTTACAGCTATCTGTCTGTCTGTCTGTCTTGAATCAGTGGAGTCTCAGAAAGGAGAGAATGGTGACAGAAAAACACTCTGCATTGACTTCTTTTCACTTCCCTTAAATAGATGCAGGTTTTTTTTTTCATGTGTAATTACAAGCTAAAAATAGCAATAATGTGAAGTACAATTTATGCTGTGACTGCCCTTTAAAAATGAGCCTTTTCTTGACTAATTCAAGTTGAAAATTTCTGCTTCTGGGTTTTAAAAATTTATTTATTTATTAAATTCATTCAGCCTCACATCTTTTGGTGAGGTTTTTGCTTTCACTGCTACTTGGGAGAGTGGTCAGGAAATTCATTTTTAAAATATGAGTCTCAGGTCCCCAAACTTCTTGTGGAAAGTACCTTCTGACACTGACAATCAACAGTGGGGAAAGAAACCCACAGCCTGTCTTGAGCCTCAGAGTGGAGCCCAAAGTGGTCAGCAATGTGCTTCATCCTTGGGAGTCTTACAAACCACTCACAGAGCGGCTGCCCAGCAAACGGAAGCAAGGAAGCTGTGCTGCCTCTCACAAGCCATACCTGAAGCTCCCCACATAGACCATAGAAAACATGTGCACTGATGCGATGAACTGGTTAGCCCAGCCAACAATCACAATGATGAAAAATACAAAACTGCCATTTTCCCAAACCGGAGAGTTATTGGACAAGAGAAGAACTGTGAAATCGGAGACATGAAGAGAAATTGTATGTTTTTAGGATTTTTCTCAAAATGTGGCACTAATTGAAGTCATCAGGAAACATATTGAGACACACAAGGCCTTGGTCTGGAGGAGTGTGAGGGAGGACATGGATATGTTGGCTATGGCATGTGACTACCTTTTGCACTGGAACTGTGGGGTGGAATTGCTCTCTGTGTCTGTGGACTAGCACCTCGTAATGGTACAGTGACAATCATGGAGAGGTTGTCATAGTTAGGAGATCATTTGGACAAGTTTTGGTGTAATAACTAAATTGAAGAGCTGGGAGTTGTTCAACGTGACAATGACCACACCCCTCAACTCCCTGAATCAACTCCTCCATATCTACAGCTTCACAAGGATGTCACGATCAATTGCAGAGAAGCTGTGAATAGAGAAAATGTGGAAGGATGACAGGGACCTCCTAACATCTATCCGTGCTCTGGAGGTCACTCTCAGAATATCTCCCTAAATCCCAGAGTACATGGCTCAGAATGAAGCACAGCCAGTGGCAGGCAGCAAGATCACATGTCAAGAGGACTGACAGGTTGGAAGGGAGAGGGGTTGCTTACTTGTGGAAGTCCTCAATGCAGTGAATGAGGCCGCAAGCGTCTACTGTAAATGGGATGCCGTCCAGGCTACGGTGGCACATCACACAGGTGAAGCAGTGAGGGTGGTAGGCCTTCCCGGTGGCACGGAGGATCCGCTCCATGATGGGCTTAGAACACACACTGCACTGCTCCAGTGTATTCTGAGGAAAGAAGAAAACTGGTTAGCAGGGCAGCGTGGCTTCAGTGTTGAACAAAGCACTCTAGGAAAGGAGGTTTGCAGTAGCATCAGCAACATCAGAGATTCACACAGGAGGGTCAGAGGGAATTACCCAGGCATTGGGCAGCAAACCCATGTTTTAGAATGCCTGCTGTCTTTTCTCCTGTAGCATTCTGTTCTACTGCACCAAGAGTGATGACAAGTTTTCAATAAAGGCTCAGCTAGTAGGGATCTGGGGTATCGACAACTCATTTTATCTTAGGCCAAAGGCTGCCTCTGAGAACACACGAGCAAGGGACCTGTAATTCAGCAGAACCTTATTTATAAAAACACATGGTAGGCTAGACATATTCACTGAAGTACATCACACAGGTTCTGTGTTCAGAAGATTGCTTTACAATTTCAAGAAAACTTGCCTCAATATTAAAGACATAGTAGGGTCTCTGATGGTCCCCCAACTTTTTATCTGTAATGACTGAGACAAGTCCACGCCCTCTGTACAGCCCTAATTGAAACTCCCATTTAAAATCTCAAAATTCAAGCTAAATGAACTCCTGATAGAAATGTTGAACATGAATGGTGGTCTAATAGTACAAGTGAACTAAGATTTACTTGGATTTGAAATTATGCTGGGCCTTAGGAATAAGTGTGACCCTTAAGAGCTAATATTCAGCAAGGCAGCAAGGTTAACTATCAATCCACTCCCAGACGGTGTTCTCAACCAGTAATCCTGTTTCACATGTGATATATTATTCTCTAAAGAAAGCATCTGAAGTGATTCACTAGAAATGGGAATCAAATTAGGGTGTAGATGTCAAGAGCTATACACCAAAGTGGATGGAGCATGAGAATTAAGGGGAACCTGCCTTCTTGCTCTGAGATCTTTAAATACGTTGAGGGGAGAGATGCCTGTAGAGAGGTAACAAGGGCCCTGAGAACTGAAGTAACGCCCTGGACCCCTACAAGCCTGCCCCATGTGACCCTGAACCATGGACGTGATCATGTATTTCCCTTATGCCAGGCCTTCATGGCTCTGTAGTGAAAAAAGAATGAATTCTTTCCATGACATCTGACTTCCCTCTATAGGCTCAACTCTTCAGAGTATCCTAGCAGCATGCCCACTCTCCTTCCTACTCAGGAAATACCTAGCTTTTATATCTTGATGTGCGAGTCCATGAATGGCAAGGGCCATTCTAACCTTCCAACGTACAGGTTAGAAAGCTCTTCCATTACCCACCTGACTATTACTCTCTGCCCCACTTCAATTTATTTATTTTTCTACAACACTTAACTGTATATATCTCATTACTCTATAGTGCTACAATTTCATTAAAGAACAGGATTGTTTGTTTAAAGGCTTTTCAAAACATTATTATTTTTATGTGCATTTGAAATTATGTTTGTGCACGAGAGAGGTATCCACTGGAGTTACAGACAGTTGTGAGTTGCCATGTAGGGGGTGGGACTTGAACCCGAGTCCTCTGGAAAAGCAGCTAATGTTTGTTGCTCTCTCTGTCTATGTCTGTGTACCAGCACCTCCTAATGGTACAGTGACAAGTGTGGAGAGGTTCTAGTCAGAAGGGTTTATTTTTTTTAAGAATACATTTCTCTGTTCCAGTATACTGCTTGGAATAAAAACAAGGTGGGGACGAATGTCCACAGAAAGAATGAATAAAGAAATCTTGTCTAAGTAGCATGGCGGCACAGCACTGGTCCACCACCTCTGACTCTGGAATGCATCCCAAGCTGAACTGGCCAATTCAAAATCATCCTCTCTGATGAGCTGTGGCTGCCTAAGGTTCTGAAGCTGCATAGTCTAACTATGAGCCTCCTTTCCCTGCATCTTGAACTGATGAAATTAAAATAACAGAGGCATCCAGGGTGAAGGTCTGGAGGCCAGCCTTCTTCTTTTCTATTCTGGTGATCTGAGTTAGTGTGACTGGAAATTGTCTTCCTGGGGCTTCTGTTTTGCTTCTCTGTGGGTTTTAACTTTTTTCCCCCTGCTTTTTAAAACCCAGTCTGTAATGGAGTTGAATAAAACAGAATATGCTAGACCAGAAAACGTATTTGTTTGCACTGAGGCTTGGCTCTGAGGTTCAGCTCATTTGCTCAAAACCAGGAGCAACATACAAGGCTTAGTTAGTTTCTAAGGGAGAGCATTATGGTCTGTGAGTAGTCTATTCAGGGGATGGGGAATCTGGTCAGTTCTACAAAGAAAATAAGCTTAGAGTATGCCTAAAATTAGCCTCGTGAAAAATGCCCCAAAATCAGAAAAAAAAAAAAGTTTCCAAGAAAGTAGCTAGCTCAGACAAACTGCCATGAAGGGCGCCCTAACCTTCCCCAGACAACTCCCTCTATTGTCTACTGTCCCCATTTTACACTGTCAGGGCGGAGCACGCTTGTACTTCCTGTAGGCCAGGAGAGGTCAGAGTCAGGGCCTACTGACTAACTGGGTCACTGAGCTCACTAGGACCATTGAGGTTGGCATTTCTACTTTCCTGACTCCTGACAAACTCACATATAGCCATAACAAGAGGCATGTGCTTCTTAAAGTCTATGCAGTGTCCTGGCTGGGACAATACAGAAGAATCATTTCTTTTGTATAATTCTTTGCTCTCTTTGAGACTTCAGGTTTCTCGGTGGTAAAATGATTTATCCCAATTTTCCAGCTTACTGTTATTTATTAGTACTAAGAATGCAAGAAAAGGCCAATTTCCGACTACCAGATACATACTACAAACAAGTGGAAAATCCCTGGACAGAAGTTTGAAAGTAGTACTTACATGTTTGTCTTCCTACTTAAGACTTTTAGAAACTTCTAATTGTAAAATTTTAAGCACAATAATGGAATCTTTGTACCTTTTATACATGGTTACTTTTAAACAGAAAGCTGGACTCTTCATGTACATATTTAAGCTTTTCTAAAGTGGGATTGAGTGGCTGTGAATGACAGTTTTGAAGGAAACAGGCTTCAATAGCATTAGGGCAAAAAAGATGTCTCTAAGTCTGCTCAGAGCATGTCTTAGATGTGGAACCCAGTGCCATATGTGACAGGTGAGTAGCTGGCACAAGAGCACACTGTAACTTGGGGACCCTCCCAATCAGCAGTGTGCTTTGTGACCTGGCTCCTCCTCCTCACCACTGAGCTCCCTCCCATGTGGCCTTCGCCTTCTCTCCAGCATTCTGAGCTCATTGCTACATCTTTAAAAACCAGTGCACACACCCAGGGCACCTTATACTTTTCTTTGCCTAGAAAATATCTGCTCTCTTTCTTTTAAAAATAAAGCTCAAAGGCCACTTATTCTGGAAAAGAAATATTTCCTGATTCTCCTTCTGTTATAGTAAAAATAAATCACACTCTCTGCTGCCATAGGATTGCTTATGAGATGTTTTCCCTATGACATCTACATGGCCAAGTAGTGCTCTCTTCTCTCTTCCTACGAAACCTCAGTCTGAGGTTGTGTTGCCTAATGGAACAGATTCTGAAACAACTTTTCACACAGGAAGCTATTAAGCAGTATCCTTGTGATTAGCATCTATGGGAGATTAAACAAACAGTTAGATGACACCTATGATGTAGCTACAACCAAAGCCTAGATTCATCCAAGGAGGATGTGACAGCTGGGAGGGACCTGAAGATTTGTTCTTTCATGAAGCTCTTGATGAGAGCCTCTACAGCTGCATGTATCAGTCAACAAACACAAGAGCATCTCTGAGAATGAAGTGCTTAACTCTGACGGAAGTACTTTCCTTCATCTGATAATTAACACAGAGGGACCTAGCTATGAGCCTTTACCAGTCAATATTCCCAGCAGCTGGGGAAATGAGAACTTCAGTCTCGAAGAGGCCTGTCGGCAACACACTACATCATTTACACAAATGGTCATCATTGCCCTGGGCCTGCATAGTCCATGGTCCCGGATAGGAACTGGTACCAAGCTGTCAAGACCTTGTCACTTAAATTCAATGCTAGATCTATATTTTATTAATTTTATAACAGACATTACTTTGAGCAGTTACTTTAATCAAAAATGTAACAGTTTGAGAGAACCAGAAAAGAAAAAGGGAATCAGTAGTCGAAAGGCACAGGTTATAAACTTTTCTGAAATGATGATGCTCCAGTTGTGATGAGAAACAAAAATTTAACTAAAAATCAAACTAAAATCACAAACAAACTTGTACTCAAGACTCCCCAGTGCAACTGTTGTTAAATCTGAGATACAATCTGGTTGTAGTTTTTATATCCCTGGGTGTTATATAAATAACTTTTCTAATTCCCAGGCAGAAGAGCTGGAAGGAGCAGCCGAATATAAATGAGGCATGCAGGCAGCACAAACACTAGCCGCCACAGAGAGAAGGAAGAGGGTGGTACCACCACCACAGCAGACAGGAATACACTGGTCAGGGTGAGCACTGCGATCAAGACAGACGTGCACCGAGAGTTGGAAGACTAGAAAGGGAGCTGTGGTAAATCTTTAATTAAGGTGATCTTACCTTTTTGGTGAAATGAGCAATATCACAAAACAGAAAGGATTATAAGATGATGAGGCCACATCTCATGTTAGAGAGTGTTTCGGCCTTAGTTGATCAAGAGAAAATCAGGAAGTTAAACGAGTAGGGCCCGGAGATTACGACCTTCCACATGTGCTTCTCTCAAAATGCTGTGGTTAGAGAAGTGACACCAAGGAGGCCTTCTAAGAGAGCCCAAGCTCACTCCTCCATGAGGAGTGTCAAAGGATGGAGGCTGGGAGATGCATACCACATTGTTCACAAACTACCACCCAGGTGCCACCAGAAACCAAGGCCTGGATCATGCATGACTAAGGCTAGAAGCAGATTCCCTGTTCCCTATGCAATGGGGAGCAACTCCGGTACTTCTGTATTTTTGTAGACATACTTTACACTGCAAACAGAAGGCAATGAGGCTTTCTACCTGCAAGTTACATGCAAAGAAATGAAGTCAGGAAACACATCGTGATCTTA